TACAATTTTGAAATTCGTCCTTTCTCTGTAGTTATGTAGTTTTAAAAGCTACTTTTGTAAGTACTACAAATTGTGCGATAATCCATAACTTACTACAACAACACAATTTTGTATGGTAAGCTATAGTTCTCAATTTGAATTGAACAGGGGTAAAATTCTCATTGTTAATCAAATTGGGGTAAAATGTGTACAGTGAACCTGTGAATCAAACTGGTATAAAATTCTCAGTTTAAATCAAACTGGATCGAGTGATTAAAACAATTGCAGCATCTAACTGTCAATTGCAAATTGGACAAAATGTCAATATCACCTGCAGCAGATTGATTGTATTCAGAAATGGTGATTGCTCATTTAAATAAAAACATGTAATAATATTTAACCAAAATTATCAAGAGGAAATCATATTATACATGGCATCTCTTTTATAGAAAGAATTATTTATGAAACAAAATTCTTAAGGACTCATTAAGGAACTCTTTTGCTATCTCTTATTTGAATAAAGAAATTTGTATTTCCATCTTGAAAATTTAAACAACATGTTTTATACATATTTACAATTACAATTATCAACTTATAGAAAGCTCAAAGAAATGTTTCAACCACTCCTGACATTGTGTTTTCACTGTAAACATTTACGAGTGTGTAGCGATGTTGCGAGTATTGTAACTAGTGACACTGGTAATACCCTGTGATTGATACACCTATCCATTATACATTATTGGCTGTACAATCTCTGTTGCTTTCATACGCTCTCGTGACTCACCTTGCAAAGACCTCCAACTTGTTTTACAGAATATAATAAGGTTAAGGAGACAGACTAAATTTGGTAACTGCAAAAAGGCAATGAGATATAGTTAGTGCAGGATTTCTGAAGAAAAAAGTTTGTCAAAACAAATATTTTACAGATTTGAACAAATTATTTTACAGAGATCTTACTTGTAAATAAATTCAAAATTATTTAAACACATGTTGTTTTGTAACGCTTAACTGTGTTAATTTGTTCCTCTTTTCAGCAGTTTTTTTTCTAATTTTAAAAAGTCAATAGAGAAATTTATGGGAAAAGTTATCGAGTTCACTCTGTTTACAGCTGAGAATAATTAATTAGTTTGTAAATAAATTCAAAATTATTTAAACACATATTGTTTTGTAATGCTTAACTGTGTTAATTTGTTCCTCTTTTCAGCTGTTTTTTTTCTAATTTTAAAAAGTCAATAGAGAAATTTATGGGAAAAGTTATCGAGTTCACTCTGTTTACAGCTGAGAATAATTAATTAGTTTGCATTGTTAATCAATAGTTATCTATATACTTATTTAATACGCAAGCAGGATTTTTGTGACAATTACTCCTCCGAAACTACTGAACCGATTGACATGTTTTTGGTGTCATTGGAAAGAGCGTAACGTGAAGTTGTGCAGGAAACTTTCTTTTTAGGTAAATAATCAGAGAGTGAGTCCCTGGGGCCCTTTAAAGTTTCGTATTTCTCCATAAGATTAACATGGGAAACAAACATTGTTTTGAAACTCCAGCTGTTGTCAGAAATTAAATATTACATTTAAATGTGAACAACCAGAACTATTAAATTCCTGAAGAAGAACACATGTTGTTAATTGTAAACAGTCAATGTGTAAATTATCTCTGTTGTATTAAAAATGTGTATAGTTTTGGATGTTGGTTTGTGTTTAATGATATAAGTTATTAATTATTTAATTTTTATTTTAAGGATTTGGCATATGAGTATGTCTATGATAAATAACTTCATTTCAGAGTTCTGCCAGTTTTTGCCTATCTCTGTTCTGTAGAGTTTAAAGTAGCCTACACCCTCACCTACAAATTGGCTAAATAACTTAGGTAGGCCTACGGTACATTATAAAAGCCGACAGCCTTTTTACTTTGACTTAAATTGTAAGCTTACCTTTTCCCGTCCATGGACAGTTTGATAGTTAAACATTAACCCTTTAAACTGGAATAGGACTGTTATGTAAATTGTGAGTATTTTTATCAGTTAATAATCTTTTAGTTGACTCTTTTAAAATCATCGGAAATTATGACTGTTATTAGTTTTTAAACAAGTCATTTGTTTATATGTAACTCCTCAACTCATGTACTTATTTGAAATTGCTCGATTTTGAGCAACATGTACACTAGTAATTAACTGAATCATTAATTAAAATATTTTGAAAATGAATCTGTATGTCTTTTTATTATGCATGTTTTGTTTTTATATTAGCAGCACACATTTTAATAATTTGTTAAAAACATTTCTTAATCTATTTGCTATTAATCACCTACACTAAAGTGTCAAACTAAGTTATTTTATACCTTTTTTTACAACATTTACAATTTATATTTGGGTGTAGATTGAAAATCTGTTTCCTGAATGCCTTCTTTGAGGAAGTTCATGTTATATACTGAACACCAATCACTCGATGCTTCGTTCTACTCTAATTGTAATTGGAAAGTGTGACCGATTCACGATGGCTCTTAAACTGTACGCAGACATGATGACTGTATTTAGAAAAATGTGGAAATAGGTGCAAAGTACATGAATACAGTTTTTGACTATGGGATAATACAACATTGTATAATATCTATAGCCAACCAACTCCATGACTCTTTTGCATTAAAATCAATTATTTTAAAAAAAGTACTACGTTAAAACACAAAACAATTGAAATAGAGTTTTGTTTAATCCATAGCAAAATTTGGTTTGCTTCACCAAGCACCTGATCGGGTTTAAGTATTCATTTGGCAAAAGCTAGCAAGCTATGGACTAATAATATTGATGTGACAGACTTCAATCAAGAAAGAGTAGAACCAGGTGTTCTTATCTTGGAAACTTTGTGCTGAATTGAGAGATCTTACGATAGAGCAAATCTTTTTTGTTGTATAAAAAAACAAGTGAATATATCATCAAATAGAAAAATTTAGACTTGAAGTGAGCAAAATTATTCTATTTCTTAAGAAGATGGTGACCCCTTTTAACCTTGAGTTAGCAAATTAGATGGGCTTAAAACCTGTGCGTGGAGCATATATAAAGTCTCGTAATAATAGGTGAGGCAGTACAGTACAAGGAATAAACTGTACTGAAAAACGTTAAGTGGTGTCAGGATGTCATCAGGTCGCAGACGCAAGAGCCAACATCGCTGGCTTTGGATATGTTGACCGTTAAATGACAGCGCAGACTTACCAATAAAAAATTTACAAAATCTGTGGTTAGAAGAAACACACAATAATTACTCAAAATTTAAAACTGTCTTAAAACTACTCTAAGTAGATAAAGACAGGTTACTAGTGCAGATCCCAACTTTTCAGGTACAAGGTGAGGCAGAGAAACCGGATGATTCAGATTCCAGCTGATGTGGGGTGAGGGTTTATGAGAGTACAGGGGGGTATGATCTTCAGTGTCTAGACAAGTGGAAATTTCAGTAGCCATGGAGCGTTGGATGAGTGCACAACATGAGTTTGCTGTAAAGGCATTTGACAAAAACGCAGATAGTGTGGTTTGGTTTTGAGCACACTTTCTGTCTTCTGTCTACCGCTACAGGCTCCGTCTCCTACTTTGGGTGGATAACTTTGAAGCCACTGCTAGCACAAAAAAGCGCTATAAAAGTTGCATACTTATTGCAGATGCTACAATAGATTTCATCTCAGACTTCAACAGTGTGTGCAAAACCAATGACACCTCTTTACTGGCACTGTATTCAAAAATTATTATTTCGTAGGTAAAATATTGATTTCCATACATTTACTTTTAGATGTTAAACAAACATTCTTTTTCTATAAATAAATTAATTGTGATCTTTCAAAATCATGTCAATTCACTACCTCACCCTGTACCTAAAGATTCAAGTAAAATTATTCTTGAAAGAAAATTTCAAACTGAAAATAGTTTAAGCTGAGATTTAGGTTTCAACATCTTGGCGGCAAAATTTTTTACTGGTATAAAATGTTGTTGGAGTAGACTGTGTCAAGTAGACTGTGTCAAGTAGACTGGCAAGCAGCATACAGTAACAGAAATATTATCATTGTCTATCGCAATCGCTGGAACGTTATCATCATGCTCATGATCACGGATAAAATCTAGGACATTTCCTGCGGTAACGTGAAATATAACATCTTTTAACACAACCGCGGAAAATCCTAGTAAAAAACTGGCTATCATGGAAAACTTATCATTGTTCGAGTCGATCACGTCAAATTATTCAACATCTCCCGAACTCGTGGGGAAATCCCCACCTTCTCCCGCGATCAAGAAAACAAATTTGTTGTTATCTGCGATTACAGTAAACACTTGCCATAACAGAAACATCATCATCGTCTCCCCCGATCGTGGCAAAATATTAAAACTTCTCTTGCGGTAATGGGAACATTATCATGATCTCCCGCGATCACAGCAAAATCCTGAATATATTTTGCAGGAATAGAAACATTAACATTATTCCTAAATCGAGGGGAAATCCTGAACATGCTGCTCCTCGTATTATTTGACCTTTTCTCTGTTACGGCCATGGTACAGTAGAGTCCCGCAAACTCGGCATAATGTGGACTGGAAGGGTGCCGAGTTTGTGAAATGCCGGGTTATCAGGATTTAGGGTTTAAAATAAGAACAATACTAGTTTTAAGTTTATTAACTGCATTATTTATTAATATTTCTATTACGAGTCAGTATTAAGTCATCAGATATAGTACAACAAATCCTTGGTACGAGTTGTGAATGATTTGACTTGAGCTGGCTTGAGTCCATGTTTAACTCGGACTAAAAAAAATCACAAATTTTCTGAGCCAGGTGATGACCGAGTTTGCGGGACTCTACTGTACTGTTTCTGTAGGTGACGGATTAACGGGGTTGTACTATACAGCAAACTTTTTTCGCAACAATTGGTTTGGATTAGCCCGACGTTCGGATTAGACCCTCAGGTGTACTAAACTTTAAACACACAATTACAAAAAAATCCACTGCAACACCAAGTAATAAGCATAAAATGGCAGGGGTACTTACTGATCTTATGTGTGGGAGGGGCCGGCAGTGATGCAAGCGAGGCGGGGGAGATGGGGCGTGTAGGTGGGGGTGGAACTATCTCGGAGATCTGGAACAACAAATAAACACTTACTGCAAGTTCTCCAAAGGAGTATTCTAGGTAGTATAACAGTCAAAAGAGAAGAAAATGTAGACATTTAAGTGAAAATCAGTCAAATCGCTCTCTAGTATAAAACCTATTGATAGAATGACAGAAGTAAACATCCAATTGAAATGTTACACGTAGAACAGCTGTAGATGCAATGGAACAAAAATGAACATAGTTGAATTGAGCCAACCAAAAGTAACTGAAACTGAGCATTGGATGATGTTAAAACTAATTCATTCACTTGGATTGTCATCTCCTGATTTATATAACCTTTATACAAGGTGACCAACAGGAACCGGATGTTTTTTAAACAGATAGTATACGCGTGACAGTTATTGATGTGAGGGGGGAGGAGTGTCATTCATTCTTGTATATAATTTCATTTTAGTAGTAATGGAGAATGAGACGGTAAAAACCTTATATGTTTGACTATGATGAGCATGTCCGAAAAGGTGAGCCTATCATAGTATCATGGCAGTGCAGCGACTCATTTAAGTTCTATGTCATCTTAGACACCATTACAGTTTCTAGCCAAAATACAATTCTCAGGTAGGTTGACAATTTTAGGAAAACAGGGACTATCCTAAAGAGGCCACTTGACTGGTTAGAACGCTTCAGATGATTAAAATGGTTTGATAAGCTTTGATTCTTGTTGATATGCTTAATCTTTACAGAAAATCTAACTTTGCACTAATTTTTGAGATGAGAAGATATCTATGCTGGAAAAAGGGTAACTGAACACCGAACCAGAGATATTTGATGTATTTACACAACCTTGATGACGCACATAAATTAAGGTCTCAAACAAGTTTCCATTGCGGCTGAGGTGAGGCTAAGGCTTGTTCAAATCTACCACCAGCTATGTACTATTAATATCATCCACTAGGCCTAATGTTCCAGGCGGTTCTCACAGCTATGGGATGATTATTCATGTTATTTTTGCTGAAAATGTCACAAAAAATCAACACTTCCTCCAAGTATGAATCACTTTCTGCAATTGCATTTCTTTGTAAAGAGAGTCAACCTTATTTAAATTCTTTACCAGTTACAAATTATGTATATATGCAGTTTGGACAAAATATTCTAGACAAAGGATGTGAGGAGAAGGCCTTACACATATCCAAGATGGAAGGGAGCGTTTATAAGTTTTTATAAAAGCTTACTGATCGGCATGTTTAGGACCACTAGGGTTTGTGTCCCTGGTTGTTAATTGAACTTTTTTTTAGTTTCTCCTTCAGTCCAGTGCCGGGTTTACCACTAGGCCAACCAGGCCGCAGCCTAGGGCTATAATCAAAAGGGGGCTGCAGCGATACGGTATTGTAGGCTACAAAAATATTTGATGATGCCCCCTTGGTTGCAGGAGATGTTAACTATTTCTCTGCAATCGCTAATGACAATAAGAACGTATGATCATAAGAATAAGAAGAATAAGAATAAGAATCCTTTATTGTCATTAGACACAGTTGTGCAATAGACATTGTCAAAGAAAACTATAAACTAGAAAATGTAACAGAGTCATGAACATTATCACAGTAGACCTTATATAACATACATGTAAAACTTAGCCTATATCACAGAAGAGATCACAGTTGTCAATTGAGAATAAATATCATAAAATAAAAATTGTTGAATCACAATGCATGTTACTTAAAATCTATAAAATCAGTAGCACTCAAATGCAAAAACTCATTAACAGAATAAAGTGGGTGCTTTAGAAGACCATTTGTTACAACAGTTTTAAAATTAGCAAAGGATTCAATATTCTTGACATGATGAGGTAGTATATTGTACAGTTTAAGCCCTATAACTTTAGAGCTTTTGGCTGCTTTGGTCAATCTACAAAAGGGAATGTCAATTTCATGCTTGAGCCTTGTGTTGTGGTTATGTACATTTAGCCGTTTCAACAAGAATACAGATTGTTTTTTTACTTCTAATAGAACATACAAAACATATAAACTAAAGACAGTTAACACTTTTTCATGGATAAAAATAGGCCTACAGTGCTCTGAGTAGTCAGCTGAAGCTAGTATTCTGACAGCTTTTTTCTGAACCAGTAAGACATCATGTACTCCAGCTGCATTTCCCCATAAACATATGCCATACAGTAAATTACTTTGAAAGAAACTATTGTAAGCAAGCTTGAGATATGACTTCGGGACATTTTTATCTAAAGATCTTAGTAAATATACAACTCTTGAAAGTTTGTTACAAATATAATCCGTATGAAATTGCCATGTCAATTTTCTATCAAGAACTAAGCCTAATAGTTTAACATTACTTAACCCTAATTGATCACAGGAGGAAGAATCACTAGCCTTGACATTTTTATTACTAAAAACTATGGTTTGAGTTTTGTCATTGTTAAGTATGAAACCATTGGTACTGAACCAGTTGGATACACTTTTAAGGGCACTTTCAGAATTCAAATTGACAGTTTTTATATCAGAACCAGCATTAAACAAAGTAGTGTCATCAGCAAAACATACAGTCTCAAATGGTACATTAACATCAATGTCATTAACCATGACAAGGAATAAAAGAGGTCCAAGAACCGAACCTTGCGGCACGCCAAAGGGTACAAGTCTCTTACATGAATACTGATTATTGACACAGACTATTTGTTCTCTATTATCTAGGTATGAGCTAAGAAGTGACAGAGTTGTATCAGTCACCTTGTAGTACTTTAACTTAGCCAGCAATGTCTCATGACAAACACAATCAAAGGCTTTACTGAGGTCACATAAAGTGACACCAGTATCGGCTCTGCTTTCAAGGTTTGCTAGGATTGCATCTACAAGATAGGTCACAGCTTGAATTGTAGATTTCCCAGTTCTGAAACCATACTGTATAGTTGAAAACAAGGAATTATCTTCAAAATAATTGTACAGCTGGTCATGTAAAATTCGTTCAAAAACTTTGGCAAAGACTGGAATTAAAGCTATTGGCCTATAACTAGCTGGGAGATCTCTGCACCCTTTCTTAAAAACAGGAACAACCTTAGATAACTTAAGCTTTGCAGGAAATACACCTTCAATAAGACAACTATTTATACAATAGGTTAAAGGCTCTACAATCACAGGTAAAATAGACTTTAGCACATCACTAGACAGGCCATAAATATCACGACTTTTAGAACTTTTTAGAAGCCGCACATGCCGCGCTACCTCCTCACATGACACTAACTTCCATTCCAAACCGGGTGCTGCAATGCTCTTGGTCTTGAGAAGATCCACTGCAGCCGAAGGAACGCCACCAGATTTCTCCGCCACCTCCAACACCGAGTCAATGAAGAAGTCGTTGAAGTCGTTTGGTTCCACAGAAGTATTGGGTTGATGTTTGCTCGAAGATTCTTTCCGAATGGCCTGCCAAGCTGCTCTACACTTGTTGTCGGATTTTTCAATACAGTCGGCAACAAACTGTTTTTTGGCAGTCCTCAGTTCGTGTTTGTATGTCTTTCTATATTCAGTTAGAGCTTGAAGGGATGCTGAGGTTTTAAGAACATTGTGGCGATCAAGGAGAGCCATGAGGATACTTCTACTCTTCTTCAGGTCTTCGTTGTACCAGGCTTTACCACCAGAGAACTGTCCACCGGAGTTGCAATTTGGGTCCCGCTTCTTCTGCAGCGGAAAGGACTCATGGAAACCAAGCAATATTTGGTCAAAAAATAAATTAAAAATTTCTTTAGAGTTTGTACCTAAGGCTAGTACAGACTAGTCAACACTGCTTAAAAACTGGAAGAAGGTATTTATTCGGGCTTCTGTTATGGGCCTATGGTATACAAGGGAGTTGGACTGTTCAAGATAAGTTTTCTCGGAATAGGCTAGGCGTATGTCTAGGTTAACTGCAGCATGGTCAGAAAGGCCATAATCCATAACTGTATTAATATAACTTGAATAATTGAGATCAGTCAAGATATTGTCGAGAACTGCATTACCTCTTGTAGGCGTAGAGTTGGTTGGATGTAAGTTGAACTGCCTCATAAGTCTTGCAAGTTCACGCTGGATTGGTTTGGTAAAATCAGCCACCAAATCTACATTGTAGTCCCCTCCGATGACAAGGGAAGACGATTTAAGACTTAGAAGACATAATAACCTTTCAAACTGATTGAGGAATATATTTACATCACCATTAGGTGATCTATACACACTGACTACAATGATATTGCATTCGAGTTTGATGGCAGCAACTTCCAAATGTTGAGTTGAGCAAAAACGAGCAACATCCATAACCTTATATTTTAGTCCATTTTTTACATAGATAGCTGATCCACCATGCACCATATCGTCCCGCGCATAGTATGTGGCCAAATGATAATCTTTTAGTCTATAAAAGCCTATCTCTTCAGTGTTAAGCCAATGTTCGGATATGCATAGGATATCATTTTTAATATCGCTTAAGACTACATCTAATTCCAGGGTTTTGTCCCTTATAGACTGAATATTCAAAAACATTAACGATAAAACAGTTTCAGAACTAATAATACTGGTACGGTTGACTAGGTTACTCACTTTGCTGGGCTCGGAAACCCTAAAAAAACAGACTCTTCAAGACTTTCACTTTTAGACTGTCCATAGTGTTTATTTTTACGATGCACAAAGTCAGCAATTAGTACTCCTTCAGGCCAAAATTCACTTGAGAGCACTTTCTGCTGATCTACACTGGATAGGCCTATTTTAAACGAGCGGTAAGATGTGTACCGGGTTTTCAGTTCGTCACATTCCACATTTGAAACACCATTCTCCTTAAGATAGTCTTTCATAGTAGATGTTCAAGATTTTGTCACAAACGCAATGAAGTTCTACCTTAGGGATGGGGGCCCCTCGGGTTAATTTTTCCAAGGTTGTTAAGTACCCTAAATCGGGCACTGGTTCAGTCTTACTGAAATCTTTATCCAAAATTCTTCTCACTTAGGTCCCTGCCTCAAGCGAAATTGATGAACTGTCGCTGCTGGCCTACGCTATGCAAAACATCAAGCAAACGTTTTTGACCACCTTAAAAGTACAACAACCCCTTGCATACATTTTTTCTACGTCCAAACACTATTTTAAATTCTTGTCCGTCAACTGGCGATGAACTTCAATTGGTCGAAGTTGATTCTTTAGAGCACAAAAAAGCCTAATCACAGAATGATTCTTACTTAATTTTATTATCCCTTTAAGACTCTCCAACTACTTAGACAAGACTAAGATTTTGCTAACTCTGTTTTTCCAACTAAACATAGCATAGGGGGTGGGAACCAGCTATAGTACCAGTGGATGCAGTAATGATTGCAGCGTGGATGCCAGATGTGAACTAGCTTACTTGGTCACATTTAAGACCTTAATTTATGGACCACGCTTGGATGATTTTGAAATTGTTTAAAATTTTGAAACAGTGTTAAAAAGGTAAGTAAATAAATTAACGTGATTGCAAGGATGACACAACTTCTTCACTTTTATCGGAACTGATCGTTCATGGAAGTATAAGAAGCCCAGATGATTTCTGCTTCTGAAATAATCCAATTTAACAGCTATAGACAATACAGCAATATTTACCTTATCCAGTACAGGATTGAATGTGAACTTGTCCACTTCCTTGCGCGGTGTCGCTGCAATAGCAGTGATTGGTGTCATAGGTAGCTTCATCTCCTGGAAACATAGAAATAGAAATGGTTAGCATAATCAATTTTAGGAGCTATAAAACTCAATTTATTTGCAGATTCAAAGATTAGAGGATTACAGTAGAACCCCTCATTTCTGTCCTCGGAATAACTGACTCCTTGGGATATCCAACCGTCTACTTGTTCCAAGTCTAGGGCAATAACGCCGGCGAGATCGGTTAACCAAAAGGCTGATCGCGGATTTTGCCGTAATCGCGACAGACGATCACCACTGTCGCCGATGATGAGTGATGTCGCGGTCGCAGGAGACAATTACCAATGTTGTGAAAACTGTATGTTATGCTCCTATCTTCATCCGACCTGTTGGCCTTTTGACCATGGCCCGGTTCCGTCATGGTCGGATATAAAGGGTTCTATTGTAAATTATCATAGCAAATAAAGTTTAAACTATCCAATTTCCGGCTATCCATCCTTCCATATTATCAAATACTCCCTTCACAATTGAGTAGCATGCAATCGCACACTATTAATTACTCTAACGGGTACATCAAGACAATCCTCCTCTTAAAACCCAGGTAATGTGTTACATACTTAACACTTACTTACTTAAATTTACTATTTGACCATTTTTTCAAGATTTAATGTTAATTTACCAAAAATGTCACGGTTAAAAAAGATACAGTAATAATAAAATAATAAGAAAAAAAAATTAATTAAATAATTACAAAAATTCCAGTATTACACAGACATTGGCTGATAGTTCATTTAGCGTAGGGTTAACGAGTGTGTCCAAAATTATCAAGTGCCAACTGTATGAAACATTTATCTTTGTTTAAAGTAATTCTTAACTACTTAAAAACTTCCAATGACCCACGAAATTAAACGGAAAAGAAAATCTATATCGTTTATGTTTTGCAAGATAAGTTATTGATTCACATCTAGACAATAAAGATGCGATTGTACAATTGTACATCAGTAAAGAACATTGTACACTCGGCTGCCATGATAGCCAGGTGTGAGCCGTCGACACAATGCCAGCTGGCAATCATAGTGCTTTCTCTCAACTCTATCCAACACCTCATTTCCAACATATCAAAATACTACATTCATACCAGATACTGTTTTAAAGCTACAGTGAAACCCGTTTTATCCAAACGTCCTTCAACCAAAACCCAAGATAACTAAAATCTTATCAAACAAATTTAATGGAAAATGAGCTAGTCAAATGGGAGTTGTCTGCCGTCGCGTTGGTAGTTTAGTTCCATATTGACCAATGGAATGTCAATTGGTTAAACCGATTTACTGATAAAAATTGTTCAGGTAAAGAGATATCACTTCTGTTGAGTGAAGTCTAGTTAAATGGTGTCCGGATAAGGAGTATACTGTTGCTTATAGATTAAAAATATAACTATGTTCAATAACCTGAATCCTAGCCAGTCCCATTGGTGTTGAATTATTAAGAGTCAATCGTAATCCAAGTAACAAACAAATATGAAGGTTTGACTGGGTTTGGTCTCCATCAAGGGGCTGTTTGTTTAATAGTGAGTCAAGTCAAAAAATATCCCCTAAAAATAAGTAAGTGAAGTTCAAGAAAGGTCCCACCAATGTGCCAACATTAAATCAAGGTTTTGCGAAGCCCCCGCTGAGGTACTGACCTTAAGAATGTTTTCCAGCTCCGGTGGTGCCCCTCCATGATTCGTGTTACCTGGAGCTCTAGCCAGACTCTGACCCTGCACAAAAAACATGAAGTATTAGATAAATTATACAAAACCCAATTAAATTGTAACATTTTTAATTTTATTTTATTATCAGGTGAGGAAGGCTTACTGGGACCTGTAAAGCCCTTAAGGAGGATTGAGAGCTTTAACACGTTCACTGCGCATGACAAGTAATCTCGTCACCGCTGGCGCTTTCCAGTGGCAGACAAGTGTAATCGTCAAAGCACCCTTTACAAACTATTGCTCCAATGCGAGGTTAGCCACTGCCGTAAGACGTTGTTTCGCTTACCGCTTATTATACCAGTGTTATACTTTAATCTGGTAAAATTCCTTTTCAGATCCAACTATTTTATCGGCGGTAGGGATTGTTACAAATGTATTGTAGTGTGGTCTTGGATCTAATGACATGTAATTGAATAACAATAACGAATGTACTGTAGCATTGTGCAAGGAACCTAACCTCAAAATTGTGCTAGACCGCTTCTTTGCAGTATTTTATGATGGTGTATCCGGGTACTTCGCCACTGATTTTCCCTCCATTTGGCATTACTGAGGGGCGGCTAACAGTATTGTTTAGTGCTGCTATCTGTTGGGTTATTGTAAAACTACGTCCACAACGACTGAGACACAGTATATGCCTCTCATTTGGATGAAACTAAATTTAAACGTTTTCATGCACTCATCCACGCAAGCGCATTAGATATTCCCACCCCTGGCCAGGGCCGTCCAACGCGCAGCCGCATTGAACGTGTTAACACACACTCCTCTAGAGTCAGAGACGCCAGTTCACTCTTGACCAAGCCTCTGATAGCTTGGGCAAAGTCTCATTCTTTGATGAAAGCAACCTGCTCTCAGTAAAAAAGGCTCTAATGGAAACATTTCTGTAGTAAACAGGGAAATTTCAGAGAAACAACCAGGATATACACAGTCATAAGTCATAACAAAGGACAACTGCTACAAGTTAGGCCCCCTGAAGGAGTCTGGGGGAGACACTCTGTACGATCTAAAGGAAGTGCTACAGCTAATAGTAGCCACACACTTTGCAGGGAGCATCATCCTAAATGAGCAATCCCACAGTTGAGAGGAATGGGCTATAAAGTCCCTCATCACGTCTAAATTACCTGGATCAGCCTTTAACATGGTCTTAACATGGTACTTTTATTGCTGAGTAAGCTACTCTGGGACACATACAGACAACATGGAGCACTTCAAGGACTTCATCCGCTTCATTCCTTAACCTGCTAAGAAAAAGTACCCAGATCCCCAGTCTTTCTGTCCCATCTCTACGCATTCTTTCCTATTGACTTCTAGAGAAACACATACTGTTTGTAGGGAACAAAGTTCTCAAAACAACCATCAGCACACTTACGCTCCAGGAAGATCCTATCACTCTGCGCTATATCATTTGATAAGCGCAGTATACACTTATGACAACTGTCGTGCTGGTGACTAGTTCTGTAGGGATTGCTAGCTGAAGGATCCTTAGAAGGGACCAGGTTGGTGCGATGGTAGCCACTGGAATCGCTGGGTTGGAGCGGATAGCAGTGCTCGGTTAGGAACTGCAAGAGGTTTTCCTTGATAGACAGGGCGTTGAAATTCAGATAGATGGCCTTGAAGTCTTTCCTTGATATTCAAGATACCTTTGACAACACCGAAACCCAGGCAGTCATCAACACTGAGAGAACTCATGGATTCCATGAGATGCTGTACATGAGACGGAATCTCTTCTAAACAAAATGATGGTAAGACTTACACGTCATAATGAGGATCTAGTAGCTAGAACTACTCGAGGATATCAGTAGTTATATCGAATAGTTATATCCACAGCCTTTCTGTGGACTCTTGGGTATGCATGCCAGTCATGTCTGAATATGGGTTAGGCCTCAGCATCACACATCAGGGTTAACAAGTTCACTGGGAGCGCAAGAGGTTTAAACGTTTGTTTATGTGCAGCGCAAGGAAGATAAAAATCCCTTCGCAACAAAGATTGAAGGGCACCACAATTTATGGAAACCCATTCTCTAGGGCCCTTAGTGCATTACATGAAAATCGCAGGCTTGCAAACAGACGCCTCCAATGTTCTACAATTAGACAGGAAGCAACTAAGACGGGTCACAGAAATGGTCAAGTGTCATGGATTCCTGAGATCGCTTGAGGATCCACAATGGAGACACTGCATGTAATAAGTGTGAACAGTCCAAAGAGACTGCGGACCATCTACTTGTGTAGACTGCAAAGCTAAGGGAAATCATCCATGGAAGAAAACCGTGAAAAGGGGCAGACACTTTCCTCAGAATGAGCTCTTAAGACAGGATACTGCAGTTCATTAAGCAACTACAATTTGACGGGATTTGAGACACTGCTCCGATTCAATCAATCAATGCTGGTTTTTTAGTTCTATATGAATGCAAACAATTTTGACAAAAAATTACTTTACAATAATGGTATCACCAGCTAAACGGCTACTTGCTCGTTGGGTTCGCACAGATGCTTACCGTAGTGTCCACAGACAGTCTAGGCAGCGGCCGGGCGTGCTGGTGACTAGTTCTGTAGGGATTGCTGGCTGGAGGACCCTTGGCAGGGACCAGGTTGGTGCGATGGTCCCCTCCACTGCCACCGCTGGAGCCATGCTTCACAGGCTGTCCTGGGTAGAAGCCTCGCCCTCCGTACGCTGGCTTTCCATCCGCAGGCTTCACAAAGCCACCCCTTGGGAACAAAACAAAGAACTATAATTTCTCCTAGGAAATTATACTAAACATAATTTGCAATTTAATTATAATATTAGTTAATTAATTTATAAAACTATTTCTTATGTTTAAGCTACCATAATGCAATTTCCTCATGTTAGTGTAGCCTATACAGTTTCTTTTTATATTTTCTGTATTGTTGGCGTACATGATTTTAATTACAATGAAACAATTGTTGCAAATGCACCTGATGTGAAAGAAAGTGAGGCAGAAAAAGCAAGCAACAAACACATAAAGACAGAGAGCTGCTTCACAAGGCGGATAGCAGACGACATTACGCCCAATGCAATTGTGACATGTGCCAACAACAACACCCACAGCAAGGCATAAAGCTAAGCCTCTGAACACGAATCAGGTGCATAGAAAAGGTTTTTGTTAGAGTAGCATATTTGATAAATGTCAATGACTTTATAACAAACCTTTATTGTACTGATTCACTGTACCAACATCTACTTAATTTATAACAATACTGTTCAACACCTAACAGATTAGTAGCGTACAAGCTCTATAACGATTCAAAATGTTTACGTAAATTAATATTATTTAAATAAATATTATCTATTTGAACCTTCAACTTTTTCAATGTACAGTATACCCAAGTTTCCAAAGCGAACAATAAACTTATCCTATAAATTAAACTGTCCAATACTTAACATTTGTAGAAGCTTTACCTGTAATCAATTTCAACAGATATAATATCAAACACTACACAAACCTGAATACCAAAACAGTTTACTCCTACATTTTATATTGAACGAAATTCTACAACACAATAATATGAAGGTATTTTTATCCAAAAGAGGGAGAAATAGGCTAAATTTGATTACAAAACAATGGAATAACTTGGTAGGATTAGTTAGCCTAATGGCTTGGCTAATGGAACATTAAGGTTGGCCTTGAAATTTGACAAAGGTGATTCTAGTTTCACAGGACAACCAAACACTTGTTAAAGTTAAGTTACTTATTTAATTTTTTTTAACGTGGTATTCAAAGTACCACCAGATATTACTTGTGTTACAAAGATTATTAGATATGTAATGTTTAAACCAATGGAGTCTACGCTGTTTACAAACTAAAACAAAGTTGGTCCAACATAGATAAAATTATATTTGAAATAATGTATTTACTTAAGATTCTATCTTTGTTTAAATCTATCTTCATAAACTTCAAAACTATTCTGGCAAGTTTTGACATTCCTAAAGCAATATACAATTCAAACTGAAAGATTTCAATTCCCTAATTGTGCACTTAGTGATTTAACAAAATGCTTGTAATGCTTGTAACTTCATATTTTATCTGTCACTTGGTCAAAAGTCTAATATTGAAATTAGTAATCTAATTCCAAGAGCATTGTGATTTAGATAATTCTGCATGTTTATGATGGATTTTTCCAATGCAATGCCGAATTTTAGTGAATTTTAAACTTTTTTAAGCATTAATTTGATTTAGCATGATGGGCAGACGCATTACCAAGCATTATCTTTGACTGTGGATACAAGTAGAATCTCATGTCCATGTCAGAGGAGTAGTGGTCAGTTTCGGAATCAAAAATAAACGTATTTGTATTGAGCCATCGCAGCTTTAAATAACCGATTTCTCTCGAATCCGCCAACTTGTTAACCAAGTCAAACTGATAGGAAGACTTAGCATCTTTGATGGTACATCAAATATCTCAGTAACAACACCAAGAGAGAAAATATAATTTTGACTTTAGCTCACCCTGCGAGTCTCTCATTTAACTATGTTTTTTTTAACAAAATAATTGTGACACCTAAACCATATATATGGGATGTCTGCTTTAGTGTACTACAGTCAACAGTAATACCTTGCCGTTCCATAATTAACTACAGTAGAACCTCAATAACAAGTTCTCATGGGGATTATCGAATAAGACTTGTTATCAGTTAAGTGGGAGCACACCTTTCTTACTCTTCTTTTGCCAATAGCCTTAGACGATGGTGAGTGTTACCACACGGGAAATATTACAATTACACCACTGCTTGTAATGAGGGTTGACTTCCTATCGAGGTTTGCAATAACATGTGATTTAGGGCCTTGGAGTGATACAAAATCTAATTTGACTATGACACTTGTTATCAAAGCGTTTTGTTATTGACGACTTCTTATCGAGGTTCCACTGTACCTCGATGGTCACAAATAACTATCAACTAAATTCCAATACTTTTTCTAAGCTTCACACATTACACTTGACACTTTCACTTCCCGCAACTTACCTCTGCGTGGACGAGTGACTGTGGTGATGCGAGTGCTGCTGATGACTAGGCTTGGGCTTCTTGAACTCCTGCGTGACGGTGGGCGGTGGTGGTGCGGGAGTAGTCCTAGGACTAGGCGGTGCTGCGGGGGCGGGGCTTGGCGGAGGCACCCCGTCGTACCCCAACAGTCTGCCAGGCTCCTCCAGGAGATGTTTGACACTCTCGTATTCCCCCAGAGTGCCTCGCACTTGCTGGGACACCTTGTCGTTGTAGCTGGGGTTCACCTGCGGAAAACAGCTGACATGAGTTATGGATATGGATGATACTCTGCCTAGGTACGTATTTCAAGCTGATTATATATACAAAGTGAGTGTGAAATTAAGTTGTATGACAGGTGTAGTGTTTTTTTATTGACTAAAATCTGCTATCTCTTTAGCCAAGACCATTAAAAGCCCAAAAATCAAGAACAGCCCATTAAAAGAAACATTAAACCAAAGCATAACCAACACAAATAGACTTCTCATCCCATTATAAAATTTGAAACTCGTTTTTGTGACTAGTGTTTGTGACACTGGGCGCTAGTGTCGACAACATTTTATTTCTATTATTTTAGGGTAAATTTCATGATTTAAACTTTATTGTTTGGTTAAATATAACTAGGAGACGAGTTATTGTTTATGATTAGATCGTTTCATTTGGTTTAACAAGGTTTAATATTACTGCAAATTGTAAACAAAACACGACCTTTACCGGACGGAACCAACAGTAAAATTGTATTCAGCTGATCCATTAGGATGACAAACCTCTAAGGGAGAATGTTTTATGATATAAACCTGCAATTTTCTAATTAATGTATATCATCACAAGAACCTGAAAACAAGAAAGACGAGTTTCGTAAATAGATGAATCCAAAATCCTGATAACAGTCGCAAAGGTAAGAAGAACAATTTCAAGTTAAAACAATAAACAAACGTTAAAGTTAACACGCTAAACAAAGTTTAAAGTTAGCGTTCTAAGAAAACGAACATTTCCCTCGGATTACTCTTCAGTTTGTGTAGGCAGGGAGTGGGCAGAGAACACAGCTTTATCTGCAGCTTCGTGTTTCGGTTTCAATGGAAATGTCGAGCCTTTGTGGGCCGATTCTACGCAAGGCCAATTAATTACCATCGGCAAACATCTTGCTTTGCAATAATGTCTCGTGTTTCAAACGTCAGCATGTTGATAATTGATTGGGCATTGAGTTTCTTTATATTCATTTATCAAAATTTAATTTTCTGCTTTGGAAATAAAATATATCTTTCAACATTCTTTATTTACAATACAGACAGAGTAAATGTATGTAAAATATTGTAGAAGAGTCAACAATAAGACCTTGTGGTGGACAGTGAGCCTTAGAAAAACCAACATATTAAAATCTATTCACATTATAGGTGTACACCAAAAAAATGTTAGAAAACGTTATCGTTACACTTAAATCTTTTGTAAATACAAATTAATTGCTAAAATAGTCCAGGCCCACATAACGTAGAAAATGTAAGTATACATTTAAATTAGTTTTATTAAAAAATAATATCAAAATATTATACAGTAGTACATAATATTTTTAACAAAACTGTTTAAGCGTTCACCTAAATAAATTTCATTTACAACTCTTAAAACATTCAAGAGCAATTTTTTCTTGGCATCTCGAAAAAAGACAGTAGTAGCCTACAAAAGCTATTACATTTTAAATAAAGACTATTTCTACTTCAAACTTTTGAATCAGAACAATATAGTTGTTTAGTTCCAAAGTTTTCTCACAATCTGGTGACCTTTCAAATCTTAAAACTTCCCAAACCCGAGGGGCATTTTGTTAAGTTTCCAGGATTAAGTTTTAAAATCGATAAGAAACTCTATCGAGATAATGAATAATGAAAGGGTTTCCGTTTGACTAAGAATCACAACATATTGTGCATATTGTGGTATTTTGTTTTTATGTATAGTTCACTTTTAAAGACAACCAAATGGACTGATTTTGCGTGGTATGTAAATACATGATGGGGTTTTACGATGAAATATTGACTGCTATTTTATCAACCAAAAACTGTTTTACTTGTCCATAGATTTTTAATCAATGGAGCTGGCTAATAACATGAAAGATTTATTTTTACAATTGGTCTTATGCCCCTTTGTCTTGCAAGAGACAATTTATAAACAGTATGTACAACCAGGTAACTTAATCTGATTTAGTTTCTATCACAGTTAATAATAACTGCAACAGAGGCACCCATAAACGAGTCTGATGTTACATTTCAAATAATATAATAATCTTGTACTTTTGGATATCGAAGAAGACATTTCTATATAGCCTATATAGTACAAGCTGTAGCCATGTTTTGCCTACAGTAATAGCTGGATAAATGAACCTTTCACAAAGTTTGCTCTTTAAAATTCCATGTCCACTTTGGATAGTGATATGACTTTTTATAGGTCCATTTTTTTACTGGCTAGAGCCATATAAAGAGTAAAAGTTTTAAAGTACAATTAAAACAATTCAGTTACGTAAATAATGTCTGAAATGTAGACGACTTTCCAATTTGATTCACAAAGACTTAAAAACTTAATTTTTCCCAAAAATTCTAATTACTACAGTATTTCTAAATTGAAATCTGAGATAGGTACAATATATTGAAAGGGGGACAACTGGTGTAAAATGAAATGGCATTGTGTAAAAACAAACGCTTTGATGAGAAGGGCAATCAAATGGCTTGATTGATGGCGAAAGAGACATACAAAAAGGTCTCTTACGGTCCCAAACTCTACATGTTATCTGTGTTGGAGTATTACTTTTGTACCTGCACATTGTAAACCAAAATCAACTTACAGAAATTGTAAAACTATATAGAAAATCTATCAAAACATGAAAAAGTGGTGTACAAATGCACATATTTCTGAAGATTTTTTAACTGATAAAAACTAGTTTTACGAACAGTAAACCCTCTTTAATATGGATAACTGGGGTACCAAGTCCCAAAAATATTAAACAAATTTAAAAGAAAGATTATTCTGTTTTGTTAAAAATAAACAAAGCCTTTCCCCTTTATCACACTATGTTATTCTCCCTATGTACTAAATCCTCTCACAGAACATACTTGATACAAACACAGAAGAACAACAATTGTTACCACACATTAACCAAAACATTTAACTAAATTCGTAAGCTATATTTTTCTAAAATTTAGCATCCAAACAACTAAACGAATACTGATACAATTGTAAACCAGCTTGGAGACTAGAAAGCATAAAAGCAGTGCACTGCACCAGGTACAATTGGGGGGGGGGGGGGGGGAGGGGGAGATATCAAAAGATTGATGCTCAGTTAACCAGCCACAACTACAACCACCATTTCATGATGCTCTTGTGTTATGTTTTATTTGTTGTGCATTTAGCTTAGTTTTTATTTCATCACTTTAATAACTTGTTCGGTCACCCATTTATTGATCGAATAGATTTTATTAAAATGGTAAACCGTGTGAATTTGAATAAACTATGTTGTATTCATTTACTGATTAACCAAAATGTCTAATTATATTGTTATGAAGTTGAAACAATAATTAATTGCTTATTTTTGTTTTATCTTCTGGGCCAATAATTTTATATGTTATTAGTATTATTTCACCGATATGTCTCGTTTTATTTGACTGGCTCACATTAATGTTTTTATCAATAATAAATTATTGTGGAATATTGCTATAATCATATTTATTACATGTAGCCCTACAATAAAAAGAGAAATTGGCTAATATCTTTATTTGTATGGTCATTTTTGTTCATAAACTCATATTATAATGTAAAGAGATACAAAATACATAATGTTGAAATACAAATCTATTTATTATGATGTATAAAAATACATCAGGGATGCAAATCTATTTATTATGATGTATAAACATGCATCAGGGATTCAAATCTATTTATTATGATGTATAAACATGCATCAGGGATTCAAATCTATTTATTATGATGTATAAACATGCATCAGGGATTCAAATCTATTTATTATGATGTATAAACATGCATCAGGGATTCAAATCTATTTATTATGTATGATGTATAAACATACATCAAGGATGCAGGTCTATTTATTATGATGTATAAACATACATCAGGGATGCAGGTCTATTGTCCTAAGACACACGAAATTACTATTTGATTGTAAACTAACGTGACTTCACCTCATCTGTTTTTACTTTAGTCGTTTGTTGTTTTGGCCATTTCTTCAACATTTTATAAACACTGTCGTTGAATAACCTCGCTTACCAGGTTACTAATAGTTGTAACTTTGTGTACGTAAATACAGAAAATTCCTTAAAAAAGTTAATTGAATTTTGAAATATAAAATTATTCCTCTTTATTAAACTAATGGGAATGTAAAAATCGCTATATTTATATTTTCCCAACGCTTTGAGTAAATAACGTTAGGTTATTATCTCCTAAATATTACAACTTGTTCAAATAAATACAATAGATTTTTACTATACGAAATAATTTTAGATCATTACAGGACTTATTTTTTAAAGAAGCAATTTAAATAAAAGTATAATATATTTTTAACAAACAAAATTGATTTATCATAGATTTTGTACAACTATTTTTGATAACATTATGTCTTTTTAAGTAAAACAAAGAAACTGCTCAATAACACATAACAAATCATAATAATTTTTAATCATAATCATAAAGAGTTATACGCGCAACAATAATTATTTTTAAAGAGTCAATAAATTTGTACAGACTTATATAATGTCTTATGAAAAATTGTACTCAGTCTGTTTAGTTTAGCATCTATTTAGAATCGATCCTTAGTAAACATGTGTTTGCAAACTTAATAAGTTTTTCTATTACATTAGTTTCAACGTTATAATTTTTTTAAATATGTTACCTAATTAAAAATATAAATCCACGCATTTTCAATTGTTTTAACCGTGTAAAGCTTGTACTTATTGCCCCCAACGATAAATTTCTACAATTAAATTTTCATTTGACTTATTGCCGCGGGAGAAATTCAAAGATGGTAACCAGAATCACACCCCGCACCACCAGGCAGGTGTCTCTACAAACATCTGTTTTAGGGTTCTAAATCCATGCGTCGACTTGGCTGACACGGACGTCGGTTCAAGCCCATTCAATCGCTACAAACGAACTGGTGGCCGAGCTTTGGTAAAGAAAATCTATCCTTATCTCTCTCCATCATCGAAGTTACTGAAAATATTCGCTTTCCAAAAGTTCTTACAGTGTTTCGGTT